GGTTCGTTATCCCTTATCTATGCAGATTGCTTCCACCGCGAATTAAGATTACTGGTAACGCGCGTGAAGAGATTACGGGTGTCGCGTTATAAATTTGGCAAATTCCGAGATCTTCGAAAGGGTTAAAATACGACGATAGCTTAAATAAGGGATTTATAATCGACTAAATTTCAGTTCGTTAAAAAAGCTGATCGCGTTTGTCGAGATTCGGGGGAGGGGTGGTGGAAGTGGGACCAACCGTACGCGTGGCTACGGTGCGTTTCCAGGCCAACGAGAAAGACGGGCCGGGGACAGTCTTGTTATTTGATTTGACGGGACTAAAAACCCCCGCAATGTGTATAAAACGTTTCGATGGGTCAAACATTATTAGAACTGACGAATGCCTAGCGCGAATGGTCGGCTTAAAGAATTTCCCAGAAAAATTCTAAAATGAAAAGGAAGAGCCGTGCCAATCGTTTTTCCCAATTCGCCTACATATTTTAGTACAACGAATACGCGTAAAAGACTCGCGGATGTAGAAGAGGGAAATCTTCGAGAAACAATAAAACGAAATCGTTTGGAATACAAAGATGATGGGACAATTACAATTCTTCGCGACATTGTAGCGCGTTACAAATAAGGGGGGAAAAATAGCTGGACATTATTACAAAACGAACAAAAATTAGTGTCGTGTTATATTAACATTTCTGTCGATTCGCCGTATCGTTTATTTGCCAACAGATAGAATTAGTTAAAAAAAAGTGTAATAATAGGAGATATTATGGAAACGCTGCTATAAATTACATTTATTCATCGGCGTGTAATGTCCTTTGTGTCGATGTTTATATCTTCCCCATCCGAGGAATACGAGGGAATTGATGCGCGAGTTTAGTGTTACAGATAATAATAACGAAAGTAGCTTACAATATTTAAAGGATAAAATGAAGTATTTAAAAAGTCGCGAATATACCGTAAATTTATTATTTGATGAAACATGTATTGAGCGGCGATGAAATTTTAAAGGCGGTCGCGCTGAAAACGAACCACTAAAACTCGCGAAACAGCGCAGGTATTTATATTTAGCATCGTATATAAATATAAAAATGTTGTTAGTATAATGCCAATGTATAATTTAACTACCGAAAATTTAAAAAAAGTGTGATTTTTAAAATTTTAGAAGAATTGAAGTTTTCTTTAATAGCGGATAACAATACTTTTAATGAATTATATTCAGTTAATAAAATTTTACAGTCGTTAATTCCACATCCTTTAGGTAGTTCGAGACGGTTACTTTTTATTTCTGTTTCCGTTCGCGTATAAGTAACGAGACCAAAAACAAATGGCGTATTTACACAAAGCTGCCGACGTCACAAATCAATCGCGGATGCGTGCCAACTCGGCCTTTGTTCGACTTATTTTAAATAACGATTAGTTTGCCAGTAATTTAAGTATAAAACTTTATTTCTAAGTAAAAATATAAAATCGATAGTTATATTTTAATTATTGAGGAAACCAATTGTTGTTTTTAAGGCGAGGAAATTAGTGAGTTTAAAACAGTCAAAATCTAATCGTCATTTTAAGTTGATTAAAATTGTAGTTTACGTACGTTTAATTATTTTAAAATAATTATCGTAGTCGTTGCCATCATTCGAGTTACCGCGCGAGTTGCTGTTATAAGTAACAGAGGGAAAGTATGGCGATGGGTCAGAAAATGACCCCGTCCAAATTTTTACATTTTTGAACTCCGGGACCTCGAAAGGCCGAGAAATATATAAAATTCGGAGATTTTTCTGTACGTGCGGATGTTTACGAGTGTGGGGGAGGCACGAATTTCTTCATCCATTTTGAAGCTTAATAATTCCCGCGTCTTTGGTCGAAAATTTCTGAAATTTTGCGGGGAGGTTCGTTTATTATAAATTGGTGGTTATGGGTGGAGGGAGTCGCGCGTCGCATCTCGAGTGGGTCGAAGATTAACGAAGATTCAAAATTATGCTTTATTTTTTTTTTTTATAATCTAAATATATGAAATTGCTTGTCCCGATGACTGATTCATCATCGCCCAGAGCAAACCGCTTAACCTAAAGAGGTGAAATTTGGTGCGCAGTTAGGGTACGTCATGGAAACGCACACTAAGAAGGGATTTTTCGAAATTCCCCAGCGGAGGGGAGAGGATTAAGGCTTAACCGGAAAAACGGCTTCTACTGTACTATTTTAGATACGATTTTTTGTTTTCAACTACGTTGTCTTCATCGAGTACTTAGGTGTATTAAATTGATAACATTTCATACATTGTTATAAATATTTTTATCTATTTCGATTTTAAAAATGTTCGAACCGTTTTAAATTCGAATTTGTTATTGCGTATTGGTTCGATTATAGAACGATGGTAAACGTTCCAGAAAATTGATCAAATTGAAAATAGTTCGTTCGATTCTCGGCAATTCTCTTCATCGGTAGGTGTTATTTGACAATTACTATGGTTACTGAAATATTGAATGTAAATGGGGTTTGCTTGCAAAACCTCCGCGGACGAAGTTGCGGGTAACAGCTAGTAATTAATAAGATAAGTTTTTCAACGGAAGCTCAACAGATGGCGCCGCAGACAATTTTAACTTTTTTCGCCGGGAAAGTTACGCGACTCGTTGCCGGATTTTATTTTAAAACAATCCTTTCTATTATATTTTATTTGTAGACGAAATCATAAATTTAAACGAATTACAAACCAGCAACGATTAGATTTTAACGTTACGAGATAAATATACTTTAGAAGTTGCGCAAAGTATATTTTCTAGTACAGTATGTTAAAATACGCAATTTCTAGTTATAAAAATCGCGTGCCGGCATTTACATCGCTTTAAAGTTAAATTAGGGAATCGGTTTCCTTTAGAGAATAAACAAAGAGACTATCCCGTTAATCTACGTCGATACGACGTTTTAATATAACGATTACGCAAATTTCCGTAAAAGGAAACTGCGAAGATTCCTTAACTTTTCCGAAAAATTATTTACCTTTAATATCTTTTTTTCGAAAAACTTCTTCCTCCTTACAAATGCAGAGACAAAAACAAAATCGAATTCATAATTCCGTTAAAAAAAAAATTNCTCATATCTCCCGCACCCTTATAGCTATCGAGACGCAACCACCCCTATGCACGAATAGACACTTGGGGCTACCACCACATACAAACACCATTCACGTGCGATGTGTAGTTTTGGCGAAAAAGTGAAATATAGGGTCATACATGTCCATTTATATATATATATATATATATAGATTCAATTCGAATCAAATCATTTTGTTGTTGTATGCAGTTTCCAGTAAACTTTATTAAAAAACAGCAGAGATCCCAGTTTAGAAACCCTACTCCCCTCCTTTAAGTCCTTAGTAGTATATTTACTAAATATACTACTATTTTTTTTAACTCTTTCCTAAAAGGGGGCTCTTTTAGCAGGCCCATAATGGGGCGGTCGGGTGGTGAGAGACGGGCCCCGACATATCCGAGCGACGTAATCTGCTACTGCATTGTACAGGCGACACTTTCAGTAATCCAAAACATTTTGATTTCGCTTAGGTTCGTTGTAATGATAAATATTAAATTGTTTTTTCCCGTGACATCCAAATCGATATTTTTGATTGTTACGTGTTAATTCAATAATTATTGAGCTCCGAATTAGCGCGTGAAAACTAAAAGGACAGTAGTGGTACTTTATTAGATTATTATTTCTTGTATGATTAGTATGGTAACGAGCCACAACGCAATTATGAAAATACTGTGTTACCAATTGCAATCGATCGATATTCTTAATAAATAATTATTATATATTTAGCACGTTTAAATATACTAGTAAAATACTTGGCGATTAATTTTTAAACACTAATTTAGAATTAATAAAATTCTTTAATACTAAAAATCTTTCCCTACTCGCACCCTTTAAACCCGATTCTCCATATGTTGTTAGACGAAAAGTGATGTCGTCATATTGTCACAATCCTCAAATATTTCGTAAATGCTGCTAATGTTAGTTCTTAAAGGATATAGGAAAAAATTGACGCGAGAGTCCGATGCCCAATTAGTAAAGGTCGATCTATCCAAATGAATTTTTAATAAAGTTTTTAACGAATTGCAATCTCTTGGATTTGGTATAAATCCACGAGATTAAATTACAGGTAGCATTTAAAATCTTATATACTTCCTGAAGATACTAATCGATCGATCGATCGATCTTGTACTATATTGGTTTTTATTCGATTAAGGCAACGCGAAAAAATGTCTCCCGGGGCCGTTTATGGGAAACTAATCCCAATTTAGGCGTTACAGACGCGAAGAAAACTCCGTGGTCAGCCTGTTGGCCAGGCGCAAACCCATGATCGATTGGGTCGAAAAATTCCTGGAGGTGGTCCGACTGGATATGTCGGTTCCCGTCCCTCGCCACCCGGCCGAATCCATAATAGGTTTGCTAAATGAGACCCTCTTAGTTGATCATTGGTTTTTTTACTCTTTCCGCACTGTGGGCACTATCAGTGTTCAGTGGTTTTATCCACTCGGCCACTGGTGGCTTTTTGTACTGTGCTTCTTTAAGTATTACTCATTGGATGTAGTTTTAAATGATTTTTATTTTTGTTAAATTTGCAATTGAAGTTTTTAATCTCGCCTGTAGTAAAATATCGGAACGGTTGAGGTGCCAACCTACCGCTCGGGAATTCGGGCAGGTTAAAAAAAATGCCAATTTTTGAGGCCCGTCTGGAACCACGGTGAATATGGGGGGAAAAGGTTCTCCTAATGCCCGCAGATTGGAAGGGGAAACAAACGTTATATAATCTGATTTTATATTCGTCTTCGCTTTATATATAGCGCAGTGGCAGCTTCGTGGGGCCCAGGCAAATTTGAATTAGTGCTCCCACGTACAGTATTGACTTCAGACATTTTTCTTGGGGGATATTTTCTTATAAAAGATTAGTTCGGACCTCAGCAATTGGCCTTTTTGCCCACACGCTATCCTATTATCGAGAAAATTCAACATTCAAATCAAATAAAATTTTAATTAATAAACACACCAATATTAACAACATTATCGTAGTATATTTCTATTAAATTCTCCGATGGACAAAAATACCTTAAAACCCTAATTAGAGTTTAGTGCTTTTCAACAGCGACCCCTTTCTTGTCCGAAAGTTATTGTCAGTAGTTTTATTCCTGCGAAGTATCAAATCTACAAACGTTCTTCTGATATCCGAACTGCAGAAACAGTAGACGTAAAAGTTCATGGAGAAGTTAGCCAATTCTATGACGTTGGCCAAAGACCTAAACACCTGAAAACTAAAGTTGGCTTCCTTATCGTCGCTGTTCAGCAAGGTGAGAAGAGCGGCGGGAGTCATACACACGAAGAATAGCACCACGATGCCGCACAACAAAACAATCAGGCGTTTCTCCTCCGTATATTTTCTGCTTCCTTCTCTTCTAAGACAAGCGTTTCCGAACATTTCCTTCCTCCTCCTCAATATTTTGCTGAAGGTCACGATGATGGTCACGTTCAATATGGCCAAGATGACGACCGGCCCGAGACGAACCGTCAGTTCTTTAACTAGCAAGTAAATCTTAAAAGCCGGGTGCTTAAAGACGGATGGATTCTCGCAGGCCATGTACACAGTCTCGTTCTTGCTGTTGACAAATTCGACTGGAATCTTCTGGAAACAGATGGGAATATAAATAAGGAAAGAAATCACGTACGCCATGGCGATGGAGCGCTTGGCACGCCTTTTGTTGTGGATATCTTTGAATTTAGTAGGAAGGCAGACGGAGAAGTATCTGTCCACGGTCAAAGCAACCACCAAAAACACGCTGCTGGCCATAAACGCATTGACTAAGGGTAATTCGGCATAGGCATAATATAAGGAGGCGGAATAAGTAGTCGATTGAATACCTTGAAGTCGCAGCATGGAAGTAATGCCTAAGATGAGTGTCATCAGATCCGAAATGGCCAGCCACGTCAAGTACACGAAAGTGACACCCTTCAAATTAGGTCTGGTCAACACGGCTAGATTAATAATGTTACCCAACACTCCCATACAAATGATTATCGATCCGATAATCCCGTAAGCGATAAACTTTAGTTTTCTCATGTTATATTCGTGATCTTCCAACGTAAAGTTAGTTCGATTAACTGTCACATTTAAATATTCCTCCTGAACATTAAATATTCCCGACAAAATCTTGGGGCATTCCATGCTTAATTCGATTCACATTTTTTTAAAAAATCACCTACTCGGATATCTGGCAAAACATAAGTTTTATGTGAATTAAAACTGAAAATAAAATTTAAATCGATATATACTTACAAACCTGTCAAGTTTCTTTACTTTGATCGTTTGGTAGAAATCCTTTTCTACCGGGTACTCCGGCAATCAATGCTTCGCTCCACTCTCCAGTAATATAATATTGTAGTAAAATATCTAAAACTGGAAGCTTTTTTCTCAGATAATTTTATAAAAAATTCATTCGTATAAATAAATACTATTCAATTTGTACCTTGATTGATGGATAAGACTTTACAATAGGATCCTCGATTGGCACGTTTCATATATTCTTCTATAGGCAATCGAGCAGTGGCTAGATTCCTGCTTTCGGCTCTATTCAAGGTTGCATTCTAAAATATATAATTTGTCTCCTTTACATATAATGCAAATTACTTATCGACTTAATAAAATATGGCAAAAGATTTTATTATTAATTTTTGTACACTGTCTATAATCGCATTGGTGGTTGGATAGCATAAGTGATCATACAAAAATCACCACGATTAAATTTTAGCTAAATATCGATTGACGTTGTAAAAAAGAGAATAAGAGATTCTTCTTACGGATTTACTAGTTTAACATTTGAAAGATTAAATAAATAATTAAAAAATAATACTTGGATGAAGTGTATAGACAAATACGTGCCAAGTAGCAACACAATTATCTCAAGAATTAAAATAACAACTGAATAGTTGAAGGTTTTGATAAAAATACAACTCTCCGCGGAGAAATTTCGTTTGAAAAAAGAAAGAGTGGAAACAGTAATACTGCAAAGAATACAAGAGCCATTCCTCTAGATACCACCATTGATTTTGACTTTTATGATCTAACAAAATAAAATTTATTTATTAATATCCCAATTTTTAAAACTCTCGAACATAAAAGTTTCCAAAAGTCTAATCGCATTATAAAAATTCTATCATTAAATCTTTAAGCATTACTCATACAAATTACATTTTTATAGAAGTATCCGTTTCTTGTAACGCGGTATAAATGTTGTAAACGTCACGTCTACGTATTTTAAAAAATTAATTACGTTAGACGTGAGCCGAGTTTTTAAAGAATAATTGTCCCTCTTTTCTTTTCCCGTCAATAAATTATGTAGGTTCTCCGGATGGCAAACGAGAGATGAATAATTGTTTACCAATAGTAAAAATGCCAATGCGGTGAAAATTGTTTCTCTGCCATGTTTATTCGTGTAAGAATGCCAATAAAACCATCAACAAAAGTAGACACGACACTTCCACGCGAAAATCGATGGGACTCATCTCTGACACTTCAGGAATCTGTTGCTCGTGCATCAACACACAACTGCAAATCGGAATTTTGACCCGATTTTTAGCGATATAAAAAATGCTAATTTTTGTTATCTCCATGCTTTGTAAATTAGTTCAACGAACGACATTGCGAAACTTAAATGATTTTTAACGATGTATTCGGAAATTTCCTGAAATAATAATCATAAAAATTTGTTTAAAGACGACGAAGGATCGGTAATCGCGCTATTAAATTCCATAACCATTACCAGTAAACAAATGGAGAGAGCTCCACCGGGAATTGACGAGAAAAGAAAATATTTAAATTAATGTTTTTGTCAATTTAATATATTCATCAGGTGAAACAAAAGCAATTAATGGCAACAACATTGAATTTTCTATTTTACGTCTAAAACAAAATTTGTTATTATTATTTATTCAGTAAACAAAAATTCTAGAGAAAACTTGCAATTATGGATTATTTTTTTTAAATAAGTATTGTGGGTGTGCCGTGCCCTTACTTGTAAAAAAGTAGAAAATAAATATTCCATTTAAACTTTTTTGTTTTTCCTTCTTCCAACACTAATGAAATCAATAAAACATAAAACAGGAACCGAGGACAGATTAACAACAAGAATATTTAATTGATTAATTCCCTTCAGGAATAACAAATCAGAAAATAAAAAGATTAACTACTAGACTATTTGTCTCCATACCCTAGAAATTAAAATTATTTATGCCTGTAGAAATTATACTTCACTGGGGTAAAATGTTGATCAGAAAAATGCGCAATGATTAATTTAATTTAAGAATATCTGTTTAGAAATTTATGTTTTTTAACAGCAGTTTGAATCAATAATGAAATAAACTGAAATATTTTCTGTACATATTTTGAAAGAACTTCTTGAGATAAATTCGTTGATGTTTTGGAATATACAAGGTTCTAAGACTAATTTGAACTGCATTATTCAATTTGAAGTTAGGGAGGATCTGAAGATGAAGTTAATTATGTTTTAGAAAATTTAATCATGATATTATTAAATAGACATCTATATTTATCTGTCAAGGTATTTTTGATTTGAAAAAAAAAAAAAAGCATTCGGTTCTTGATTGTATCCGCTACAAGATTGCAAATTTATCAACTTCTTTTATTACCAGTAAATGGTAAATTATTAAAGCATTACCAGTTAAATTTTGACTCCAAATGTGAAAATTAGCATGCTATCACTGGGAAGTTTCTAACTTCCCTTTGAGTCATCAACTAAACAATTACTGGTGCATTACATTTAATTGAATTTCCTTTGTTTTGTTTTGAAAAGCAACAGTTTCATTCCTAGAAAATAGAATGCAATGTTTTTTTATTTCCATGATTAAAAAGTGGAAAATGTAAGCACTCATATCAAATAAATGTGTTCTGTTTTGTCAACTAAAATTGTTAGTTTGATCTAGGTGTTACAAGTAAAGAAATGAATTGCCAAATTGCTCAGCTTAATGCTTAATATAATACTTCAAATATTGTAAAGTAATAATTTAAAAGATAAACGACAAAACACTTTTACGGTTGAAATAAAAACATTTGATGCATTTGTGTCTTTAATATTTAAAAGTATAAATATACAAGAAAGTGTGTACAAGTAAGTATTTGGCTTAAAAAGTTATTACATATTTATTTTTATTGGTAAAAAATATCAAATTACCATTATGTTTTTAAACTGATTATTGATAATAATGTGGATATTAGATAACTGGCAATGCAGTTTCTAATATCCACATGTTATGCCAGTCAAGTCAATCAAAAACAACAAATTCAATGAAACCGAACTCAGTCACATGCAACCAAATTTAATGTACAAATGAACTAAGTCAATCAATTTAATTTGGTAAACCATCTTGTACATTTTTTTGTATGCGAATGAAGTACAGTATAGCATCGATTATCTGAAATAATGATGATTGGACATTTTTGGATACATGATTTTTTTGAATAACCAAGAATACTTGGTAGAGAAAGAATGAAACATATATAATCTTACATAAAATAAAATATATTTTTAAATTCTAATTCAATAATAAAAGAAAGATTAAGACATAGAAATGTAATGCTTTAGAAACCTGTGACAGGTCAATAGTGGACTTACATAAGACTATTGACAATCATTATTACAAAAATTTTATAATTTTTGGAATTAATATTGTCTAAAGTCGATTAATTAGCTTTCGGATAATCGATGGTTTACCGTTAAGCCAAAACTTTTAATTATTTATAGCAAAATTTATTTATTTTTTCAGTGGGAAGTTATATTTCAACAATTATCAGACATGTTTAACACTGTATGTATGTTTTTATTTTATATCTATTAATTATTGAAGTTCTAAATTTTAATGCAATTATTAAAATAAAAGTAAACAGACATAACCTTTTAATATAAATATCTAGTAATGGACATAATTGTTTACCAAGTGAACTGTATAAATTACCTCCTCAATCAAAGCAAAAAAAGATCGAAGATGCCGTTATATATTCTGGACCAGTGGTAAGAATTTTCTTGAGCAAATTTAAAAATTTTTAATATATGTATTTTTTTTATTTGGAGATATAAGTTACTGGCAATACTCAATTTATATGGTAAAAACATTTCGATTTAAAAGTGATAAATACATTTCTATGAATGTTGTGTTAATTGAAAATATAAGCAAATGAGATGTATTTATCACTTTTAAATCATAGTACCATAAGTGACATCTGTAAATCAAATTCCTTTTATTTTTTAATACATAATCAACACAACATTGTTTTACTTTCCTAATTTTTTAAATATAAGAAATGCAGATCTTTAGTATCACTTCCCATTTTTTTGGGTAAGGGCATATTTGATGTAATGCCAGCTTCTCGGCATCCCACACTTTAAAAATTACAAACATTTCGCTAGTTTAAAGAAAGTCGGGAACCACTGCAATGTAGTAGACTTTGAGTTTTATCAGTTTTATATTGATCTAGTGGCATTGTTTTAGATAATAATCAAAAAAACAGAAAAGCAAAGTGGATTTTGGGAATTTTTTGAAAGTAGTGAAAATAGGCAAAACTAGGTTCTAACAATAAAAGGTGTTTTTAAGTTCAATTAAACAGTTTTCATACATTCCATGAATGGTTATTCATGAAATGAGTACATGAAACTGTGGAAATGCCTTGTTGGGAAAAAGGTTTCATCTAAGATCTGAAGTATAACGATATAATAAAAGTTCGTAACAAATTCATTTATAAAATTTAATGAAATCTAATTTTTACAGTTAGCTAATGCGCCTTATAATTTATTATGACAGCTGTTGTTTGATTTATCCAATCATATATATTTACAATGTAAGGGATGACCTGAAGAAAGTGATATGGCTTGATATTGTGTTAATCAATTGATAATTAAGAATAATTTTTTGTCTGCAGTTGAGTTAGGAAATGTTCTATTAAAGAAGCTAAAGAGCTCCCATTGTACCCTCTTTGGGGTGGGAATGAACTCTCAAGTTTCAAATGAAACTAAAGTTTCCAACTCTCTAACTCCTAGAAAGTCATGCAGTGATCTTTTTAGAAGTGTTTCATTTCCAATGCTTTAAATGGCACCGAGTATGTTTGTACTTAGGAAGACTTAAGCCACAAATCCAGCATTGATTCGAAAGAGCCTAATATAGAAAGTCTAGAGGTTTCTGACTTCAATACCACAGAAGACAGCAATATATACCTTATCGTACTTGCAATAAATATAGAACAAATTTTTGTCGACAGGATTGATTTTGCTGGCATAAATTTGTCTTATGTTGTCTATTTTTTTTCTAAGCAAAAATTGTGTGTATATATCTAGTTGAGCATGTAGAAATTAAGGTGTGTCTTAAATTGAAGTAAATATGATGTATGAAAGTATGAACCAGGCATATATTTATAAAAAAGATACTTAGTGGTATCAAAATATCGTGTACAAATAACAAATTGTCTGAAAGTTGAGGATTGCCTGTTGGAATGTCTCTTTCAATATATTTTGAAGTCTTAATTAATTTTTAAGATTAATTTTGTGATTAAAATAATTTTATTAATCTTTTACTAGATAATTTTTATTTCAAGTATCTTAAAACAGAAAAGACCTTTGTCTGTGATATGTTACGAGTTGATATATAATGTTTGCACCCATCGATAGCGAAATGAATAAATCCACCGAACGCAGGTAGTTGGAAGACCAATTACTGATGCTCACTTTCAATGGTTTCCGGGTTTGTGCCCAAACAGTGAGCTGACTGCATGGAGTTTTCTGGGTTTTCTTCATATATCTAACACCTAAATAGAGACCAATTTTCCATAAGTCTTCATGGGAGGCATTCTCTCTTGGTAGATAATCTGTATGTTGCATTGCCTTATCTCATCAATCTATATGTTTGTTGAATTAATGTATTGAAATAAATTTATATTTGTGGATAAGAAGTGTGATTGTATTTTCTTTGGCTTTTCTTCATTTTTGATAATGTTTAGAGCTGCATAAGCTTCTCATTCTCTTAGCTGGATCAGGTCCAAAACATGACAAGTTGGTCATTATTTTTAGAAAAAATGTCACCAGATAACCCCTTGCCTCTTCTCCCTCCTCTGGTCTAAAATTGTCTTGCATTTGTTTTTCTTTTTCCAAAGATTTTTCTCTTTGACCATCAAGAAATATCATTGCAATCGAAATAAGGAAAAGCCAAAGGCAATACAACAGCAAAAAGTACAGGGAGAAGAATTCAAAGATAATTTACAAGTAGGAGTATAACACAGACAATATGTCAGTTATTTTTAATATAGTAATTGTTCAATTAAGTAAAAGTAATTTTCTAATTAAGTATAATTTAATATGAAAAATTTTAATCTTTTTATCATTATTCTAAATGCAAAATATATTATATAATATTTTATCCTTTTAAAATTTTTGTAAAGACGCATGCATTAAAATTACTTTCAGATTGACTTTACAACTCACGTTGAAACTTACAAGTCGTTTTTCTTAGGATTGACTAAAGATAACTGGCTAAATTCCTACGATAATTTAACCGGAAAAGAATTGCAGAATGTCTATTTGGGACCACCGAGCCGCTATAGATTCAAACATGTCGAGTGGGAGACGCACGGGGAAAATATCGTAATCACTTCAATACAAAATCAAGTACAGGTTCAGGTAAATAAAATATTTGAGTTTTTGTAGTTTTAAATGTAACCCATGTGATGCAGTTTATATTGTTTTACAGGGGACGAGGCCAAGAGTTTTGGTTGCAATTGCTCTTATGTCAGTTTTTCCGTTAGAATTTATCGCTTTGACAGAAATTGACAGAAAGGTATTAGTAATTTATTTCTTGTTTCAAAAATTCATATTTGGTTTTACAAAAGACTTGTTTTTAAATTATTTCTAACATATTGACTTTCAATTGAATCAAAGCCCAATAATCTTCCTCTGAAGTAACACTATAAATTACTATTGTGTGGAAATTCACTAATATAAATTTGTTAGCTAAAGTTGTCATTTTGTAGTGTTCAATAACTTCAGAAACACTGGTTGACAGCCAAAATGTATCTGAGAAAGAAAATACAGTATTAGAAAATTCTTACTGTTTTAGTTAGTCAAACACAAATTTTGTATTTAAAATTACTAGTTAATTCTAGTTTTAATCTCTCTACATTGAAGGAACATTTCTAATAGACTCATAATATGAAAATTTTCATAACTTTTTCCTACTAAAATAATTGTAAGGAAATTTTTACTTTAAACTAGAAACGTTTGGCTATCCAAGTGTTTCTCTTGTGATTTTCTGCTAATTCTAAAATTTTCTGTAATGTTTAAAGGTTATGAACTTTGATAATTTTTTTTTATCAATTGCAAAAATTCTGATACAGAAGAAAAATTCATTTGGAATTTCTATCCAAAATATATCTGGGAATTAGACTTAATTTTTCTATTATCTTTGTTAGTTATTTTACAAATGAATTTAATGTTTGAGAGCAATGTGATATAAAAATAAAAGTTTGCTTGAGGCAATTTTGACTTTATTGCCAAATATAAAAAAAGGTGCATCTAACCTTATATAATGAATGCACAAAACAGCTCTCATAGGAGATGCTTTGGAAGTCAAGTACAGGTGACAGACCAAAAGCTGATGAATGTAATATACAATGGATACAGTTAGTTGTATATTATATTGCATTTACATTTTTCTTGGAAGCGGTAACTAGCCATTAAATTTCATTATGATTTTGTTTGTCATCCCAAGTCAACAAAATGAGCACACACAAAGGATGATCCACTTAAGTGATAATTTGTTGCACAATGTTTGATAAGTGATAATTTGTTGCACAAAACAAAAATTTTGGAAAATTAAATGTTTATAGCAAATTATATTTTGCACAAAATCTATAAGACTAGTGTTTATAATTGAATTGTCTCAGAAATTTGTGGTAAAGGAACACAACAGAATTTTCATAATGAAAAATGATCTTGTTCCAAAATGATCAATAATTTTAACACTATTTTTATTGATATTACAACATAGTGCAATAAACATATTCCATTAAAAAATTAGTTTTTCTTTGTAAATGTTGGAATATGCTACTTAAAATTGAAAACTTTATGAATATCAGTTTTTAATTTTTTGAAAATTAGTGTAAAAATAAAAATTTAATTTAAAAATTCATCTAAGGCTGAGAAAAAACAGAAACACTTTAACTACTAATGCCACTAAACTAATAATTCTATTTATAATATGTACTGTATATTTCCTACTTTACACTTGTAAACTATTAAAATGTTATCAACATATCTCATTTCACTCATATTTATCATTATATAACTGTTTAAGTATGGACCAATAACTGGCCAACTTTGGCCCAGTTTTGGTCCTTACTTAAACAGTACCATCATTTTGTGTTAAAAATTGTATATTCTGTATTTTAAATAATTACTCACTTTTATTGCTGGATATAGTAAATAACAGATTATTATTTCATGTTCACGGATGCATCTTCTTAAGCTTTTGGGTTTGATTCATAAAATTATTTAAAAGCAATTCTTCCAGGATTAATCTCGGGTCTGTTCTATCAGCAAAACACAGAGATTGATCCCTGAAGGACGTAGATACCCTTGTGCTGTTTTGCGTTCTTATATTGATAGTAAAAACAGGAAAGTTTCCATAAGAGTTTTCTTCATAAATTGAAAGTTCTTGCATTCACTCTTTTATCAATTTGATAGGAACAGGTAGTACTTTGTTTTCTTTAATTGCTTGTGTAAAAACATTAATATCTTTCAAAGTTATCATGAATGTTAATCTAATACCGACATTTAATATTTTAAAAATTTCACAAGACTAGCAAAATCTAAATACCACATTAATTAAAAAAAATAAGCCCTAATTTATCATAAAATTAATTCAAATATTTGATAAAGGTAGGTAAAAAGATTGAATTTTGGAATTAGCTGAAATTAGATTTGATATTTAATCTCATTTTTAATTATAAAATTCAGGCTTTAGAGTGCTTTATATACTAAACAAACATTTTGAATTTTTAGTTTTCTTTCAATTACTACATTATGAAGTTATTGGTTTCATTTTTCAATCTTTACAAGTTTCTAAAATTGTTTTAAATATCTGGAAATCAATTTCCAGTCCTCTGCAGCAGATTGTGTCAAGTTTTCTTCCTTATTTCTTTCCACGGATTTATCATAAATGCATAATTTTACAAAAGTAATATAAACAAAAGTGTGGATCAATGTACAGTATATAAAAACCTAAGTTAAGCACATAGTATTTAAAAAATTAAATAAAAGTACTTTTAATACCTGTGTGGTAATTTTTAATTTACAAGCAGTTTAATTATAAAGAATCTCTTATTATTAAAAGGAATCACAATTTATTGACTAATTAATTTTTTTTATCAGATCTTCGGTAACAAATGCAATCACGTTAATGTATCGGAAGGATTGTTAATTGTGGGTTACGGAAGCGCTTCTAATGGTACAATACAACTTTATAATTTTAGGCAGTTGATCAAGGATGTAAGTAGAAAATTTTTTTGATCAAATAATTCCAGATTTTATTTCATTAATGCATGTTTTTTTAGGGGATTCTTTATAAAGCTGAATTAAACAAACCTTGCCAGGAATTTGATGGCCAGGTTGTAGGATGTTATCCCGCCGGATTACCTCTAAATTGCAAAATTAGAAGTATCGTATTTTATGTAATTTAATAATTATGTGCTTTTAAATCTTTTATTCGATAATTAAATTTAAGCGATGACGATGATAATATTTTTTGGCAGCTGCACCTCCCATACTCTTCGAAGTCAAGTGTTCTGATTTCAATCTTCACATTGGAGGGCATCCCTGGCATTACGTGACCACACCACCCAGAAGAGAAGGTGTTTTTCAGGTTAAACTTGTGTCTACATTTAGTTACATTTAAGTAAAATTTATGCCAGATTATTTGCAAGTCAAAATATGGGGGTGGAATTTTTTCCTATATTCTTTACAGAATGTATTCTGCAATAATTGCAGAATACATTCTGTGACAAAATCTGAAAATTTTCCAAATTTGACAAATAATTATTATTTGTCAAATTTGGAAAATTTTCAGATTTTGTCACACGATCTGTCAGTTGTGCTGCTTGCAAAATATTATTCCTTTGTTATCATATTTACAAATGATTCTGTTCTTTATTCCTTCAAATTGGTAAATTAATTATAGTAAGATGTTTATAATGCTTTCAGTGTTTTGGCAAATGTTTTTCATCCTGCACCAAATCATTTTAGTTTATTTTAGTTCATGTGTATAATAACTCCTCAAAATTCATACAGAATGCATTCTTTGATACAAGGGTAGATCAAATATAAACAGTAATTTGGCTATTCTGCTTAACATGCAGTTCCTAGCTAGATGATGTAGAGGGCAGCAGATGTTTGGTTTGTGAGGAGTGGGGGAACTGGCTTGGTTAACTAGTGTGCTCAGTTCTGTCGTCAGTACAGCCATACCGAGCAAAAGATACATTCGTCTGTTGCACAACGCATCAAACGCATAAAGTTTTTAACTAATGAGGGCGTTAAACCCTCGGAAATTTTTAGTTGATTGAAAGCACAGTTTGGGGACAGTACACTGTCTCAGAATTGTGTGTATACGTGGGTCAGAAAATTTAAGGGTGGGTGAGAATGTATCAAAAATGAAGGTCATGATCGACGCCCAAGGACAAGCCTTACAGATGACAACATCCTTGCTGTTCAAGAGCTTATTGAACATGATCGCCAGTTAACTGTTGAAGAAATCTCATCAGAAGTGGGTATCAGCTATGGGAGTGTTCAATCCGTTATCACTGATCATCTTGACTTCAAAAAAATTAGTGCCCAATGGGTTCCGAGGTTGTTGACCAGAAATCAAAAACAGGTCAGGTCGAAATGGGCTGGGAAACCCTCGAACACCCTCCTTATAGTCCAGACTTGTCCTCCTGTGACTATTTTTTGTTCACACCCTTGAAGGAATCACTTGGAGGAAAACAATTCGCAAGCAATGAAGAAGTCGAGGAGCACGTGCACAATTGGCTCATAACTCGCCCTCAATATTTTTATGAGAGAGGGATATTGAATCTTCCAAATCGTTGGCAAAAGTGTGTAGAGCTTGCAGGAGGATATGTAGAGAAGAACTAAAGTTTTCACTTGTGTATATTATCAATCAATAAATGTCTAAAAAAAATTACTGTTTATATTTGATCCACCCTTGTAATACAACAATAAATTTACAGGAATAGTTGGATTTAATTTGTAAATATCAAAATAATCAATTTTCTTTTAAGATATTGATATTTGGTTAAGATTATAAAATTGCTATTGATTACAACTAAATGTTTATTTAGACAAAGATACTATGGAGGAAATTTGAATATTATTTAGCATCATCTCCTAAAAACGAAGTAACAAGAACATGTTTTTATAACGAAAGTCACACAATTTACAATGTTAAGTGTAAAAAATATTTTATGTAAAGTGGTAATTTATGTGGATTTTATTTTTATTAATTAGATTTGTTCTCTGGCTGATCACACCATGGCAGAAAATGGATGCCTGGATTTTCCCAATGTCAGCACCGAAGCGGATTCTGTGGCTTTCCATTCTGACGATTCCGGTCGATTGGTGTATCACGCTGCTCATTCCATCAGGTGACTGCATTTTTTGAGGATAAGAACTTTTTTAATATATTATTTTGCAACAGATATTTTATCTTAAATGTGTTATGGTTGCATTATTTTCCCATGGGTTACACCATATGGCACAAGACAGCTACTTTGGTGCTTCAGACAAAATAATCTTAAATTATTGTTTGGTTCTTGTCGGGTCAAATAGTGTCTGTTGGTACAAAATGGGCATTTGGCCAAATGGCTGAGGCAGACAGTTCCACGGCATTTCGTTCCAGAGACTCGGGCCCGGTTCTTGGCTTCCCAGCCAAGCCTGCCACAGGCCCAAAAAAGGCTCCAGCAAGGAGGACTGCCACTAACAACATGCTCGTTTGCACTATTGATAGAAACTTGAAATAATTCTCATAAAATTCAAAGTCAGAATGCCTTACTACCTGGATAGTTGATGAATTTCCGAGGTAATGCCAGAAGTTTTATTTATACTTACCATTATTATTTGCCATTTTCCATTCTAAGTTTCGAAGTCTGTCTGAGCTATATTTCTACACGTCATGTCTTAAGTTGGCATGCATGTTTGGTATACTCGGCAGGTATATTGAATGTAATTTCTGTTTATTTTAACTAAAACCTACATAAATTACAACAGTACTAGCATATACAAAGGTAATAAACTAGGTTACAGTGGAACCAATGGATGGTAAACAGTTAATCTGGAAATTTCTTGAGTCGTGAGCTTCTAGAATATATTAAGGTAGAAAGATCTGTAGTTAATGATTATAAGAAGCATTCTCTTATCAGTTGCCTGACTCTATAAAGTTTAGCTTTTTTTTTGCACTTAAATTTTGTCAGGTTACGAATTAACCTGACAAACTTTATGTATATGTTATGCACAATCCAGACTGCCAAAAGAAGTTTGACCTTATATATGGCCACATGAGTCAGACTAGACAGAGTGGTTGTGCTCTTCCCATTTTATTGCCACAACAAAAATTTTGTCCTTATTTTTATTGTTGGAAAATTGAGACATTTTAATCTTTAACAGTTTTCCTATTTTTCTTGTTAATAATCATTTCTTAATTTTTTGTTCTTTTTATTTACCAGTTATGTTGTCTGGTTCATGTGTCTCACATTTATAGAAGTTGAGAGAACTTCTAATTAACTTTTTATATTTGGATTTTTTTAATATATAAACTTGTATTTCAAACACTTTTTTAAACCAAATTGAATGAAAAGTGATTTATATTCTTCTTTAGATTTTACAAATTGAATGAAAATACAAATGGTTCAATGAGTCTGACAGAATGTCTGACCATTGACTTGGAAGAAAATGAGAAAATTGTTAGAGAGACTTTTAGCCAGAGGAGGACGCAGAGAATCATAAAGAAGAAATTTAATTTGGATGCCATAATGGCTTGCGAGGTGAGTCAATATGATAATTCTCTGAAACAAATAGAAATTTAATCATTCACATCACATCAATATAAACTGGAGCTCCCCTGGCTGCCATTCAAGTTAGTTTTGCCAGTTAAAGTATTTGTTGAACCAACAAACTTGTGCAGGCCTTTGGCCAATTGCAAAACAGCCTCCTTTGGTATTCATGCGGCTCGAAGCAGCAATTCAAATGCCTGTTTATTGAACTCTCAATCAATTTTCACCGTTTGAAATAACAGAAAGCTAATTAATCCATTCTCAGATCCTAAACAATACCCATTTTGATAAATTTAAATATGAAAACAATAGTTAAAATACATAAATACAGTATGATACAACAAAAATTGCATTTACCATACCTTACCAAGGAGTGGCCACATTCCATTTCTTAAGGTCATCGTGCAGCCACCCAACTGTTTCACAAATAATACCATCTGAGACAATATCACTGGTTGACTTCCCATCTCCTTGACAACACACAAACTCTGAGGTTGACATGGTCACATCTTTAGCCTCATTTGTCACTTTTGTTTGTCCTTGAGAATGATGCAATAGGTACCATTTTCACGCTTGACGATAAGTTCCACTGTACCTCAAACGTTGATACCACAACCTTCCTCTTAGGATTTGCCACTTCTGCACTCTTCTCAGTTTGGTTTTATTATATTAAGTTATGGCAATGCAACACTTGGGCAATCTGCCTAGGGGGATGCCTTCCAGGAGGTCTTTTTAAGGGTAACTGGCCCTTATTCAGGCATTACAGACACGGAGAAAACCTGGAAAACTCCACGTGGTCAGCCTGTCCAAACTCCCAGTGTTCAGGGAACAGAATAGCTTTGCCACTGGTGGGTCCCTCTTCTCAGATGATGCGGTTAATAGGTAGGCATTATACAGTGCCCGGACAAAAGTACGAGGTGGTCGTAAAAAGTGCCATTTTAATAAATTATCACAAAGTAAGAATAAGAAAATATTAAATTTATTTAAACAACTTCTTACTGAGTTACTGGAAATGATAATCTACACTCGAGAACCTTTATAACACAGTAACAGCAAAATTTTAATGAATAGCTACATTTTCGAGTATTCATTAAAATTTTGCTGTTACAGTAGAGCCTCAAAAACTCGGCACTCGATAACCCGGCACTCCGGATAACTCGGCCACACCCTGGCAGAGCGAAAAAATCCTTAGTTAATTACTTTTCATGATAAAGACAGCTTTATGCCTCATAAAGTATTTTTCTGAGGTCTGTCTTATCAGGTAAATTACTGCACAGTGTATTCATTAATTTTCATTTTCATGTAGTAAAGGCTCTATGCCTTCATAAAAGACGTACTTTTCCTTTGTTTAAGGATATTTGGGCAGTTTATTTTTTGTTGTATTCTCAAGCAAACAATACATACAAGTATAGTACAGTATTTTCTGAGGACTCTACACTCGTACTTATTTTTTTAACGCCATTCCCGATAACCCGGCATTTTCGCAAACTCGGCCACCCTTCGGTCCACATTAGGCTGAGTTTTCGAGGCTCTACTGTACTTTGTTATAAAGGTTCTTGAGTGCAGATTAAATATATTTTCTAGTACCATTGATTGTAATATGTGTAATAAGGATTGTAAAAAAAACCAGTATAAAATTTGTTTTGTGATCTTTTATTTGAGTCAACACAGAATCTCGGACGAAATGATAAGGTCAAAACAGGAATATATCAAATTTCATGGCAAAGTGTCGATCGACGCATTAGAAATCAATCACCACACCTTTCTTAAATGGCACTCGTATCAGTCTGTCCGTCGTGGATGCCGCAAAGGATTTTAACAAACTTTTATCCAAGTTCTCCCCTGAAGTCTGTGTGGCATTTGTTTGTTTCTCCTCTGTATCGAATCGGCGGTGTCCATTTTTGTAAACGACACGTGACCACAAGTCCGCATATTTTCCACAGAATTTAGGTTACCATTTCCATTGATTCCTTTATGCAGAAATTCGTGCTTCTGTTTTATGACATCCCTTAATTTGTCGTCTTTCGAACTGGCGCCATTGGGCACCTTCCGGCACGTTTATTGCTGTTTGTTCCCGTACCGATAGCCATTACGTTAATCCGGTTTATAAAGCTAGAGATGTATCCAAATTGTTTCTTGACGAATGGCGAAAACACAATATCGACTTTGTAGAGTACTTTTGTCTGAGATGTACAGTACAGTACAGTACATTGAATTGAGGAACAGCACGAAACACATCTATTAGGGGCAGTCAAATGAAAACAAGACAGACTATATAACAAGTGTGGCATGGAAGTTGGTAATGCTTCCTGATTCCTAATAGAAGTGCCTTCTATTAGGAAGGACCAGCGTAAACATTCACCACTGTGCGTGCCATTTGTCTGTTAGACATGCTCAAAGTGAGGTTGGCAAGTCGTGTGTGCGTTCAACATCACTATGGAGGTCCACTGCTTGTTGACTTTCTGGAACATGGCACCACAATTAATGCACGGCGGTACATAGAAACTCTGCAAAAATTGAGGCTTGCCATCAAATCCAAACACCCAGGAATGTTGACAGACAGCATCATTCTGTTGCAGGATAATGCCCACCCACATGTTACCAAGGTTGTTTTGACTATGCTGCAGAAGTTTTGCTGGGAACTTCTGCAGTGTAGTCCATACACATCTTCCCGATACAGTCCCGATTTCTCCCCATGCAATTTCCATGTTTTGGAGCCCCAAAGAAAGACATTCGTGGCTGTCAATTTGCTTTGGAAGAAAGGGTGCATGCCTGGGTACAATCATGGTTCTGTGGCAACTGCAAACATTTTTCTATGACGGCATTGACTGTCTTGTCTCACAGTGGGATAAATGTATCAACAGTTATGGCAATTACTTTTGAAATAATAAACAGTTTACTTACTTTTTTCCCACCTGTCTTGTTTTCATTTGACTGCCCCTAATACTTGATTTTTTTACAAACTCTTTTATGCAAATACTTTCCTATGCTGCCGATTTCCATTATTCGTTTTGTTTTATTCGTACGTGGCACCACCATACATATTTACCTGCCCGCTTATTTTCGTAAACTTGGGTTTTTTAACCCAACGTTCAAGTGCGCTGCCAATGTTTTTGTTGTCTGGAAACGTGTATTTATCGATATGCAATATTTGTTATTTTATCGTACGAATAAACCTCGGCATTAAAATATAACTTAAGTAAAACGTTTAAAATCGACAGAAAAGCATCCTGTCGGACGACTACGAGAACGAGTTGGACGTGTACGCGGTGGCGGGATTCGCTCCCGGAGACGACCTTCACAACGGAAAAATAGTGCTGTACGACAACGAGACGGGCCACAAAATCAAGACCGTTCGTCTGGACATGAAAATGGACGAGGTAAATACTCTTTGAATAATTAGCCCCCTCCATATTTACCATAGAATATCTGCTTAGCTTTCAGACTACACCCTGACCATGGACCTGGAAACCTTCATTTTGTTGGTGAAGAATAAAATCTCTCAGTACAGTTGCTACATCTACAGATTAGAATCTCTGCCCGGGAAGAATGCGCCCAGAGGTAAAGGCAAAAAGAGCCACCAAAGAACGTCCTGATATTCCGTGCCCTACGCAAACTGCCTCGCGGGTTTCGACCTTTTAACCCAGCTCAAATTATGAAGTAGGGAATGAAACGGTTGCGCCTTACTTAAAGATTGATCACTGCCACTTCGTTCGGGTTTCGTGCCGCGTCTGCAGTTTTTATTATTATTCTTATTGTGTAATACAGTGATTCTCAACCACTGTGCTGCGAGATTTTTTAAGTGTGCCGCCACTGGGAATACCCACACACAAACCACGTAAAACAAATAGTTCAATCGGTTCTACCTTCCTAAGGAACGTTTGAAAATTGTAACCAGTGTTACCAGTAACTGCCGCTAGTTACCAAGGGGTTTAGAAAATGTGACGTAAATAACGAACGGCATTTAAAAATCACAATTATGACGCCACCGGTTGTCCTGCGTTACTTGCAGAAGTAAACGTGGATGCCGCCAAGATTTTAAATTATTAAAAGTGTAATGTGACGAAAAAAAGGTTGAGAATCACTGGTATAATAGAAGTTTTTATACGGGTCGTTTGTACCGCGCTTTTCGGTTGCTATACCAATTTTTCAATTGTTTTATTATATATTCCACGGCCTACCGTTTGCACGGAGGAGGTCGAAAGTGGCCTATTACGTCGGTCTGTAAAAGAACGGTGGTTGCAATAAATACTGCGTAAATTAGCAAAAAGACCAATGCCAGCTTCCTCCTTATCTTCCACCTGAACACACAGACGATTATTAACAGCGCCGAAACGACGGCCAAGAGAAGAACCAACGACAAGAAAATGGCGTAATTGTCCACCGTTATTTTTCCTTCGGCCTCCACCCACAGACACTTGACAGACCAAGGGACTCCCAGGCACAGGAGGATACCGAACAGGTTGTTTTCCAACGGACTGGATAGAATCCTCTCCCCCGAAACTGAAAACGAAAAGTACACGTTTATATCTCCAAACCTGGCGGAATACGGGGTGGACCCAAGGTCGATTAACTGCCTTCCGGCTATACAAGCGATTTAATTTCCCTGTCGAACAGTTAACCGATGTTCGAGTCACCCCGCGCCTTTATACTTTATTCGTCGTACTTACTTTTTCTAATTCCGAAAGCGCCGAAGGCAATTTGAGGAATGGACGACCCTACGGCAAATAGGACCACGCCCACCACGGCTATGGGTATTTTATAGGTATAACCTTTAATAATGAAAATAGGATTATACAATCGATTATCACGGCAATAAATACAGTATTAATTGCTCTACCTACCGATTACGGTCACCATCCAGAGAGAAACGTAAGAAATGCCTCCGAGTATAATTAAAGACAAAATGTAACTGGACGTAAACAATTTATAGTGTTTGTACTTGGTACATCCCGATGCTATGATGCTTATACAGTAGATGGCAGGATACATAATTATTCGCCACCCGCTAAACAACCGTCCCTTGTCTTCGTTCTTAAGCTTCCACATTTGTTGTTCTAGCGAATCTCTAACTAGAGACAAAGAATGCGCATTAAAACCCAGAGAATTTATCTTAAAAAATCGTGTAGAGGAGACGAATATACTCTGCTCTTGGAATAAAACCGGATAATCGGTGGCCAGAGTGGAACGTCCGAAATTTCTTATGAAAATTTCTATTTTTACGTGATCCACTTCGTTGGTGGTCGCCTCTCCGTTTACGGACAAGCGAGGATTACCAATCTATTGTTAAAATAACAAAAATTTATTTCGCCTGATTACCGGTCGACACTCCGATTGGTGTACGAGCAAACCGACACTCGTTTACTGTGTAGATACCGGTAGTTTTTAAAACATTGGCAACGCGTTGCTGGTCTTTTCCGGCATTGTTTCTTTGTGTTCGCCCCTAATAATTGCTACCGTCACCTTCGTCTTCCGATCGATTCGACAGATATTAAGGGATGGAAGCCGTATCCCGGCGGTCCGATTTTCCCGAAAATTTCTGGAAACATTGCCCTCTAATACCCAAACCCGCAAAATTTCAGAAATTTTCAATAAAAGGCGCGAGAGTTATTAAGCTTCGAATTGAGTGAACGAAATCCCCCCAAAAAAAATACTCGTTTCGAGTCAAAAATTACAAATCTCCGGAGGGTTGTATTTTGCCTATTGCCATACTTTTTCCTCACTTATATACTGTATAACCGCCGGGGAAAGTAACAATGAATTTTATATTGTTTAATGCGCCGTTTATCTCTAGAGGAATATGTCGTACACGTAAGCAATTATTAAATAAGCGGTGGTATTGTTAGGTACTGTACAGTACATTTGTTAAGTGGGCTCAACGGGATACGTATTTTAAAAAAGTAATTTCCTTCGGGTGACATTTCTGTAATTAATGACAATCTGAATTTTAACTACCCTTTAAAGTTATAGAAAAGCCCAAAATTTCGAAAATGCAGTTAGCCAAAAGGATCGCGATCATAAATACGGAATATAACATTGTATTCCTATAGGGCGGGGCGAAAAATCCTTTATAAGTTAAATATGCCTTTCGTAAGCCAAGTTTTTTTTTTAAAAAATAAAGATCTAACCTGATTTTTAACGATAATTTCTAATTTTCTATCGAAAATTAACAGGAGGATGTAAAAAAGTAGACATACGGTCAACACCACAGCTTCCCACCTAAAAAAGAGAGACTAAAATTCGTGATTTAAACGTCACGTTTCGCGAAAAAGTATTATTAACGTATTTAAACAACTAACCAACGAACGATCCCGTCATATAATATCCACACCACCAGCGACAACGTCAATATATTCAGTAAGCAATCTCGCGTGATTCGATAACCGTCCACACTTATGGTCTGAAAATACAAAATATTTCGCGTTACGCGTGGATCCAGACGCCAATTTCGGGCGCCGGCGCTTTACTTTTTTCAGGGAGAAAAGCAAGTTGAGAGAAGTAAAACCCAGCAGATTGAAAGCGGAAGTTCCGATCACCGTCCAGATTCCCACGTTATTATCGACCACGAACGATCCTGAAGTAGGAAAAAAAAATCCAACGTTAATCCCATTCTCGCAATTTAGACACGGCCGGTACTCACCTACGATACAGGACACCAGTTCCGCCGAAGAAGTGGCCAGTGGCATCGCTATTGCCCCACCCACGTCCGGGGGTATCCCCATATCTAGAAGGAAAGGAAACGATTCACTGGTAAAGCTGGTAACAACTGCAAATAACGGGGGTCCGGGTAGCGACACTTACAGCGAATGGCCAATTGTAGGGAAGGGACACACAAGTATTCGGAAACCAGAGCGGCAGTGGACGACAGGTAAAGGATTATCAGGCAGTGAACGGCGATCCCTCCGTAAAAACGCTGTCGTTGGCTCATAAAAGTGCCGGGAAATTTCCCCATTCCGTAATCTACGCACGGAGTTTCGGCGGTTCCTGTTTTAAACACGCCATAAAATATAATAGTTAAACGTCGAAACCTAATTTAGAACAATTAAAGGATCACTCACCCCAAACATGTACGGAACTCGTTAGGTTTTCCATTTGTGGGGAGGCTCCGAATGACCGAGTTTTTACAAGTAAATAAATTTATATAAGCCAACTTTTCAGATATAAAACGTGACGATTGTTTAAAATATCGATAAAATTAATATATTATTAGTCAGTAAGTATATTTAAAAAGATAAAGTGGTTTTTTTATCTGATCTTTTTTTTATTGCGGCTTATATTTTAATCGATACCGTCGACGGGATTATTTTTAGATTAATTTTACACGGGGTAAAAAAATATATATCGGAGATGACGCTATCACGGATAGACAATCGGACGTTCGCCTGGCCATTCGTAATCGGGCCGTAATGTCGCCGATGATTACTCCGAAGTAATTGTAAGTGGCGGAAATTTTACGTAATTTTCTTAAGCCCCATCGATACACGTCCGCCATTTTCTTTTTAGTCAAGCGGCGTGCCATTTGTGTCGTGTAAACGCAACGAGCTAGAAAGAATACTCTAACTCGTGTAAAAGTGCGCAAAGAAAAGAAGTCTTAAAATGGTGCGAGTCAAAACGACCTTACTTATTTTAAAAATTAAAAAAAATCTAACAAGACCATTTACTTAAACGTTTCTAAAGAAAATATTTCGTAGCGATAAGTTAAATGCATTTCTAAACATTCTTAAGTTTACTTTCCCGGTTTTTATGTATACATAACAAGGGAAAACATTGGAATCGTCAAATTTGACCCTCCGAGAGTTATGCAAATCTCCAGACCTGAACCATCCCAAAAAGGAAAAAAAGTATTCTGTCTGTTGGCATCTATAAGAGACGAAATTTGGCACACGTAACTTGTGTACAAGGAGCATTGATGCTATTAAATTTAGTTCGATGGAGAAGTCCTGGATCCTTTCTTCAGTTTTCTGAAGAACAGTCCCGGGGCAGCGGCGACAGGAATGACAACACAACTAGTCTCTCTCGAAGACGATGTAGAAAGAGGTTTGAACTGGGAAGTGGAAGTTCGGAGGAACTGTGGAGGAAGCTTCTCCGTGTCCTCGATGATGGAGGACTTCATGAGGTTTGGAGGATGGAGGTTTTTCATGTTCGACTCTTTTCTAATTGATAGGGCTTTCCCTTCCCCGTTTCCTCTCTTACCTGTCTCGAGGTAGAATTTGAGATCAGTTCGGGTCGCGAGAAAGGTCTGCCCGGGATGGTAAAACGACACCATCCTCTCGACTCTGATCGCGATTATCGATTACTAAGACACCCACGCTCATATTTTACTTCGTTTCCTTTTTCGTTATTGCGTCTTAAGTTTTAAACAATTTCTCTTTTTTATTTTCTTTTAGTTATTTAACGCTAACGACTAAATGACTAAATATTTTATATAACTTTGCATTTTATTTATACCGCGCACACGTTTAAAGGCGGAGAAATTCCATTTGCGTAATATTACGCATTCGTTTTCGTAAAATAATTAATATATATCAAGTTAAGACGATGTAAACTTACCGGACGTATTCTCCGCTTGGTCCGTAGGAAATTCTCTCCGGCCATATTTTTCTTCTTTCACCATTTCGTCCTTCCGGCGGAATAGCCAATAACAATTCTAACGTAGACGATGCCCGACGAAATAAAGTTAAATACGCACACGTATGCGCAACGCGCAGGCAAGTCACCATAACGGACATCCATCGTTTTAAAAGATCAATTCGTACCACAAAAGCGGTACGGATTGATGTTTTAAACGAAAAATTTGAAAACTAAACCCGGAGTAAACGATAGAGGAATTTCCACCAAATTTCCGATAGGGATAAAATTCGAAATTGGGATCTATCTCGGGCCGCGGAGACGTGCCGATTGGTCAAATTACAGACCACTGCCAAGTTGCAATGGTCTTTCCACCTTCGTCGATTACCAGATTCTGTATACTTCTCACGGTAACGGTCCCGAATTACTACTTTAAAACGTTCGGCCTAACCCGTGCCCGAATTTAAATCCCAACGCCCGTCTATATTGGCCGATTGTAAGGGCGTTCGGCATAAACGTTGCCCTCGTTTAGGGCAAATTTTATAATTAAAACTCTAATCGAATAAACAAAAACCTTATCGACATCTTAGGTAACGAACGATACGTACTGTACAGTACAGTACCTTCGCAATTATAGAACTCTGCCAGGTTAACGACGCATGACCCGTTGGGTATGGGTGCGGCGTATGAGTGGTGGACATTTTAGCGACGTAAACTCGACATAAGCACCACTGGTTGGTGATATTTTCCGTCGGGTCCGCGACCGGGCGTACGGGAACCCGCTGGCCGCCCTACATTCCAGCTCCGCTAATTACAAACGTGTACTTGTGATTTTGTGGGCAAGAATTGCATTTATTACTATAATATTTGTGGACAGATACAGAAGACACCCGCGACCAGACAAATACTGATTATTTCCAATTTGTATCCAAATTATGATATGTGGTGGTACCCAAGTACAGTACAATGCAACTTATGGTTTTCCTTAGATTTAACTAACAAAATCAATCGTTACAGATTTATTTCTGTCCGCCGTTATAATCTTTAGCAATTTCTAATTTAATTAAAACTCGTTTGTGGCGGAAAAAATGATTTATCTTAGAAAGAAAAGAATTGCAATTTCGTCTTCGACAATTCCCCTAACAAATCTAATAACTACGTTTCTCCTGCGTTAACAAATGTAACATTTATAATCCTTTCATCTATAACAACGTACAGTTTATACTTTTGTAATATTATAAATATATTTATACAGTTAAACCATTTACAACAATTATCTATATATATATCATTTCTAAATTATCACAAATTAAACAATTTTCTAATGTTCCTATTCAAATTAATAATATAAAAAAATTCTATCAAAAATAAATATCTACAGCACCAATTAAAATATTTTAGAAAATGTGTTCGGACATGGCGTAGTCCAAAAGGTACAGTAACTTGGGTTCTAATTACAACAGAAGGGCCTGGTATACGAATATTACTGTTGTATTATAATTTTGATATAAAAGAATATTCCTTTAAAATTTTCAAAATTAATTTTTAAACCCAGAGTATTGTAAAGTGTATCAAATTTTTGTTTTACAGCTGTTTACCCACTACTTTTGAAACGAATAAAAACTGCCGTGCCAACGACACTTTTGCTCCAAACAATTTAATATTTTTTCTTATGAAAACAAAACATCTGTAACTTCGAATCCTTCTCTTGTGCATTTTAAAAATTTAAATGCGGCGGACGATTAAAACAAATGTTATAAACCTTCGTCTCGGTCGCATATTTAATATAAACTTTAATATATAAAAATATAAACAAATAATATGGTACTAAATAATAAAAAACCCATTTGGTATTGGAATATTTCATATATATTATTGATGTATTATACTATAAAAACATTAATTGGAATCCCGTCTAAAACCGAAATTTATGCGGAGTTGTTCGAAGAAAACGAATGTCAATATGGTGTGAGGTCCTAATCGAACAAACGCAGGAATATAACCCTGATAAAAAAAATTAAATAAATAAATAATGTGTAATTCGAAACAATGTAGAATATCGCGTCTCGAGTTTTAAATTTGTCTGCCCCATTTATTAAAGTAAATATTATTAAAATGGTACCTTAAAAAAGCCCAGTGGTCCCACTCTTGCCGTGACGGCTATGCAGTGCAATATACTCTGAAAAAATATTTTTAAGAATATTTTAACCAGCGTATCTTATTTTCAATTCTAGTTACAGTACATTTGAATTTAACATACATTCCGACCTTTGTCAAGAAATTAATGACAAGAAGATTGTGCCTGTTCGTCTTGAACAGTTGCACCCTTGCCAGATAGTTTATCCTAATATAAATTAATTTACAACTCGATGCTTGTAAACTTTCCACGGGTCCTTCTACTCTCTTCGTTTACATTATCTTATAAATAATTACATAAACCCACTTGAGTCTTATTATTATCCACTTCCGTGCTGGCACTAAGAAAAAAAATGGAATCGGATGAAGATTCCTTGTGGCATGAAAGTGGATGACAATAATAAAGAAGAATTGAACTGGGCTATATAATTTTTAGTGATTATTTTTAAATGGAAAGAAAAAAGAAACTTAAATGAGATTAGAAAAATGGGATTAAAAGTTTACTGGTGTCGAATCTATATTACTCTAATATATTACGATAAACTCTCTGGCACAGAATGTGGGCATCTGCTTGAGACAAAAAGCATTCGACAGAAGATTTGAATTTAAAAGCAGAAAGTATTTTATCTAATGCTTTTTGAAGTTTCTTATAAGGTTTATAGGTCGACTTGACCTGTAAATGACTGGCTACTGGTGAACGACTACTCTGGTCGCTCGCCGGAATTCTAAGTTAATGTGTGAAATTGCAGCCGAGATTGCGCCGGTGAACGAATGTGAGTGATTTTTTTACATTCTGTTTGGGTATGTGACTGTGTGTGGCTTCCTGCCGAGGGTTAATTCAGTGGGGATCATTTATTGGGTTTTCCTGACTTCGTAAGATTAAGATCATGCTTTCAAAGAGATGGTTATATCTTCTTTCCTGGCTATTATGTATATATCACAATTGGCATTGTGTCAAATTTTACCTTCAAAGTATTTTTGCAAATCTCTGCTTTGAGACCATCTAAACTCAAAAAAGTAAAAAGAAAAAAGTTTCATGGATTTGTGCACATGCATGCATCTATTTTGTTTTGTTTAATATCTCAGGATGGAGTAAATATTAAAATATGAAATTTAGCACAGTGGCTTGTGTATAAGGGGCATTGATGCTGTTAAATTCTGGTGGTTAAAGGTCAAGGGGTAGGGAGATGTGGGAGTGTTGTGTGTTGTATCTCGAGTGGAGTCAGACTTTTATGAACATTTTACTCGTTATTAGCATTTACAATTTTTATCAAACTAATCTCTACCCTCAAAATTAAGCTTTTTGCCATTTTATAATAGTTAATAATATTAAAATTTATAACAAAATATCATACTGGATGGCACCATATACAATTTTATTTATTATGATTAATAAAATGAAAGTTATTTTTTAATTAAAATCTCATAACAGCCAGGAAGTTGCAGGATTTATTTTTATATTGCATCATCTTTCTGTAATACAATGCATTTTAAGCATACATGTAAGTTACATCTCATTAATTAGGAAAAAATAGCAAACAAACAAAATAACCTTAGACTACACCTTCACATTAAATTAGTCATTCAATGGTCAAGTCACCCTATACCCAACGATGGACTGAAAGGTTTAAAACTACTTAGAACTTATAAACAACCACAAAACTTATAATAAAAAAGGAACTAATAATTTTTGAAGACTGAAGAAGTATTTTTTAATATAATTTAAAAGAGATAAATGAAAAAATAAATTTAAAATACTGTATTTATCAAATTATCTCCTGTAAAATTTAATATAAAAATTTAGTTTCATTTACCTTGTATTCTCCTGGTTTAGCATTCATCATTCTTGTCTTTAAGACATCTAATGGTTGAGTCATCGTGGTGGCTATGCTTGCCTTCAAATTAATTAAATTTAGTTTCACTAATTAAAACAATTACTTTGAATTTATTTATTTATTTAGTAAAATGATTAATAAATTTTCGTTTACTTACGGCGGATAAACTTGCCGTGAAATGAGTCAAGAGATTATCTGTAAAATATCCACTTTGCATAAGCAATTGTTTGATTTGTTCGTACATGGATATCTAAAATTTCACAAATTCAATTAGATAGTCTTTATTGTAACTTTTGTTTATTAGAAAACTAATTATTTACTTACTTGTCCGATGGTCATAAGAATGGCTCTGGAAGTTGCTGTGGTTGCTCCAGAGAACAAACGAGGTACCCCTTCATTTTTGTACACTTGATAAAGACCATCTATTGCATGTTTATAGCTAAAGTGTAGGGAAAAGGCATAAATTTGATATGTAAAATGCACATTTTTATTTTAATTCCATACTGTGTATTATAAAATTTAACATACAAATAATATAAGATTAAATTTTCACATAATATAATGATTCTCTCCAACTTAACAATGCTAACAGTTCTTGAAAACAAGCAACAGATCCTATACAGTATGTCAATTTGCTTTGTACAGTTGTAAAATAATTAGTAACTAATAATGGGCATATTTGAATGCAAGAACCAAGAAGTATTCAATATCAAAAAGTTAATTCCCTGACAATTCTTGTCAATAATGCCAATTATCCAGCAAGTTTATTACAAAAATTACAGTTAACAATTAATTAAGTATTAAAATTCCTCAAAAATCAATATTTGGTCATAGGATAGATTAGTCCGCATATTTGATCCGGCATGTTGAGACAAATGAAAACTGAATATACAATGGGAGGGTGAAATACTGTTACCGATTCTCAAATCACTTGTTTGCTGTTGTGTGAGCTTGTAAGGATTAGATATAAAGACTTTTGATATTTGAATATCCAGCACAAGTTCTCTTGCAACAGCACTTTTCTTTTGGAATCGAGTAGATCAATTCTTGCATTAATTTAATGTAATTTTTAAAATAAACTGTAAAAGACTACAATAAATTAATTTCTAGTAAGAATTATGTTTACTTAACTAATTATATGCAAATTAAAATATTTTGTTAAAGTTTCTTTTTAATCTTTTCTCATTAAGAATTTCCATAAAATTATCAATAAATATTAGAATGTATAAAAAGTCTGAATGTAACTGTTATATGTTTTTAATGTAAATATAGAACACTATGATACTGTCACTACAGATTCACATACTGTTTGTTGTATCCATTTGGACTGATGAAGAGCTCTGTAACCAGCAAATTGAATTCTATAAGAGAGTCAAACAAACTGGCAAAACAGGATAAATGAGTGATTATGTCAAAAAGTAGACACAGAATAGTAAATGTAATGTTAAAGTGAACAGGAGTTCTTCTATTCATTTGGTAATATTTGAACTCAATGCAGATACTTTTTCTATCATTCCCTTATTACAGAAAATAAAATATTTTAAACAGTTGCATACTTTGTAAAGCGAGATCCACATTACTTGACTTAATCTAATGAATAATGTGTGAGAATATTTCTTTACTAACTATTCTTTTGTATATCTAGAAAGCAATATAATTTCTCAAAGTAATGCTATATTCAAAAATGTTAATAATTATAAAAAAAAAAATCAGATATAGGATGTTGAATATCTAATCTTACAAATATAAAACATTACAAAACTTTCTGTAACATTTTTTCTTTCTTTAATCAAATCTTCATTCTTAGAATAGCCATTTAGAACAAGGCCCGATAATAAAAACTTTTGATGCTGACTTTTCCTATTAAGATAATATAATAATATTTACACTGTGTATAACTTGTAGAGCAAGTACTGTTTTTAGTGCAATTAAATATACAGTCATCAAACACCAGATATTTCATTCTTTTAACTCTCCACCCTGCTCCTTAAAACACCGATATTAGTAACGTCACTAAAACGACCAGCCATTGGCAAACACGATATTATATTAATCATCATTCAATCAGCCACTTATATTAGAATGGGTGTGAATTTTTAGTGTGTGATCTTAATTATAATCACCTTATGTACAATATACATATACATATATATATATATATATATATATATATATATATATATATATATATATATATATATATATATATATATATATATATATATATATATATATATATATATATATATATATATATATATATATATATATATATATATATATATATATATATATATATATATATATATATATATATATATATATATATATATATATATATATATATATATATATATATATATATATATATATATATATATATATATATATATATATATATATATATATATATATATATATATATATATATATATATATATATATATATATATATATATATATATATATATATATATATATATATATATATATATATATATATATATATATATATATATATATATATATATATATATATATATATATATATATATATATATATATATATATATATATATATATATATATATATATATATATATATATATATATATATATATATATATATATATATATATATATATATATATATATATATATATATATATATATATATATATATATATATATATATATATATATATATATATATATATATATATATATATATATATATATATATATATATATATATATATATATATATATATATATATATATATATATATATATATATATATATATATATATATATATATATATATATATATATATATATATATATATATATATATATATATATATA